CGGTGGCGGATGAGGCTGGAGACGTGGTTGTAGGTGCGGCCGCAGACGCCGCACTCGTAAGGCCGCTCGCCCGAGTGCACCAGCATGTGCTGGACCAGGTGTGAGGACTGCTTGAAGGACTTCTGGCACACGCCGCAGGGGAAGCGCCGCTCCATCAGGTACTTGAGCCTCCGGAAGTAGCCCTTGTCGTCCTTGGTGGGGTCACAGGCCACCCCTGCGCCGGGCACCGGTGGGGTCTGCGCGGGGGCCGGCAGGGGCCCCGGGGTGCCGGTGGGTGCGCCCAAGCTCGGCGTGACCCCTGGCCCAGAAGGCGGCCCCCCACGCTTCAGGTTCCCAAAGAGGTGCTGGTGGCCTGAGAGGTCCACGATGCCCCACTGGGGGGCAGGGAAGGCGGCGTCGAAGAGTGGGGGCGGCGGGGCGCCGAAGGCAGGGGCCAGGGGCGGGTCGGACTTCTTGGCTTGGGCAGCAGCCGAGGAAAGCGTGGACGAGGAGGAGGAGGACGACGAGGAGGAGGAAGGCACCTCTGCCTTGGGCTTGAAGGTGGACTGGGGCGGGTAGTCGTACTGCGGGGTGGGGGGCGGTGGCGGAGGCTGGGGTGCAGGCCCCGGGGCGCAGGGCAGGGCGGCCATGGCCTTGGCGTGCTCCCCGTACAACTCCATGGGCTCGAAGCGCTGGTGGTTGAGGAACTCCAGGAAGTCGAAAGGGTAGCTCTGGAAGTGGACCCCGTCCTCGCCGCCCAGGCCACTGTTGGTGCCGCCCCCGGCGCCCCCCGCCGCGTTGGCCTCCATGGCAGGCCGCCAGGAGGGGGGACCCTGCGAAAAAGGGGATCTGAGCCGCCAGGACACATCCTGCCCTCCCGACAGTCCTCACCCAGCACCTCCCCTCAATTCCCAGGCTCCTTCGGGCCTGCCCTTTTACCTGTTTAACACTCCCCGCCCCCCCTGCCAGGAGTCCTGGTGCCGCAGTGAGCTAAGCATTGTGGTAAGGAAAAGGCCAGCCTTTGAACCCATGCACCCTGCGCTGAACACAGCTGTGGCGTCTGGTTCTGTACTTACAGCCCGGGAGACCCATGGACACGTCTGTCCTGCTCCGTGCCACAGGTCATGCCTCTGTCTTTTCCCTGTCCACTCGCCAGGACCCGTGCCCTCCATCCACGCCCAGCTGCACACCCCTGCTTTCTTTCTTCCGGCCCTCTGTCCCCTCCCGGGCTCTCTAAGTGACCTCCCCCCAGTTCCTGCCCTAGAAATGCGCAAAAGGTGTGTCTGTAACTGGTGGATCCACTGTCCCTGGTGATGCAGAAGGTTAAGTGACTAGGATGTAAAGTATGGTAACAAACCCACCCAGATGTACCTCGGAAGAAAGGCCTGGCAATCCCTGGTGGCCCAGGGCATTGCGTTGTCAGCTATCTGAAAGGTCAGCGGTTCAAATACCCTGGGAGGTCACTGTGCAGGTTAAGGATGGGCCGTCACGAGTCAGAATCAGCAGACGGCAGTGGGCTGGTGTGGGGTTTTCAAATAACCATCATATGCACTGAGAAACCCCAAACTTCTGGCCCTTGCTTTGTGAGGACAGTGGGGTCACCGTGGTGGTCTGGAGCCACAGTATCTCCAAGCCGGCCTGTCCCATCAGGGGACACAGTGAGTACGGCCCAGGCAAGGACCCCCACCTGCGTGGCTCTCTATGTAGTCATCCCGCACACTGGCCGGGACTGTGGAGCCGTGCACTGGCCCGGGCTCAGGACAGCCACTCAGGAAGCGAGAGCCCTTCTGGTTCTCACCCCTGGAGTGGAATCCCTGCTGCCTGTTACAGACACTGGGGATCTGCCTGCAGGGGTGCTGGTCCTATACCCACCCCAGGGGCCTGGGAACTGGCTGCCTTGAGCCCTCCACCCAGTGAGAGTATCCAGAGGCCACCATGCTTCTCTGTCCACCCCTCCCCTGGACGCCCCCACTCAGCCCTGTGGTGCCCCAGGCCGGTCCCCTCCCCCTGGCTTGCTGTCTTCCCCATAGGTGGCACGTGAGCGCCTCTTCTGCCCCCTGCCCAGAGGGAGGTATTTCTAGTGTCCAGCTCTGCATGTCCCCTCCTTGTACTAGATTCCTTGTCCCGTGTCCTTCTCACCCCCTCGGGTTAATCAAGTCCACTGGAAGGGCACAGGCACGGCCAGGACATGACGAGAAACCTATGGGCAGGCCTGGGGGAGGGAGGGGCAGGGCAGCGGGGTTCAGGGCCCCACTGCCCAGGTGTGGGGGAGTGAAGGCGTTTGCGGTGGGCCATTCAGTGATGGGCATCTCCATCACAGCCCACCTCTCCCTTCCGAAAATCCCACATGCTCCCCTGTGACTCAACTCCCAAACAACAGACAGGTCTGTAAGGTGATCAGGAACACCACGGAGAAGCCCACCCCATGGGACAGTCAGCTACACTACCGGGGCAGGAAGGGGCAGGAAATGGGTGACACGGGGAGGGAGTGAGAAGGGGGGTGTTATGTTGTGAGGACTGTGATCAGTGTCACCAAACAAAATGTATGAACTGTGGACTGGGAAACCAATGTGCAAACTTTAACATAAATCACAAAAAAGCTCAAGAAACCACACACCACTTGCTGTCAAGTCCCTTCCGACTCATGGAGTTCCCATGTGTGTGGCAGGATTGAACTCGCTCCACATGACTTTCAGGACTGTGCGCATTAGGAAGGGGATCACCAGGCCTTTCTTCTGAGGTGCCTCTGGGAGGGTCTGAACTGCCAACCCTTATGTTAGGAGTCAAGTTCTTAACAGGACAGCACTTTATTGATAAAAGGTTAACAACGATGGAGCATTTCCTAAAGGCCAGCTGTTGCCTCGAGCATTTTATGTGTATCAGCCAACTGAAGCCCCACAAAATAAAAGGTGATTGAAGGACAGAGAGGTCAAGTGAGTTGTCCAAGGTCACAGACCTACAGTCTGTGGCTGGACGTACAAGCTGGAAAAAATGCCTCTCCAGGCCCCCAAGGGAGTGTTTTACAAGGTGGATGGTTAATTTTAGGTGTCAGCTTGGTAAGGCTAGAGTGTTCAGCTCTTTGGTCAAGCTAGACTAGATACAAAAGAATTTTAATGAAAAAGGTATGTTGGGGGTGGGGGGGCGGAGAATGCAGAACACAATTTAAAATTCTCACAACCTCCAGACTTCTCAGGAGCCAAAGCAATGGATGGGGAATCTCTGAAAGTTATTTCCCTGTGATAATCTTTCAACCTACACCAAAACCTTCCTCTGAAGCCTTCTTAAAGACAATCAATAGCTTAACTAGTAACATCTTCCTACAACAGCATGCTCCTTTAAGCTCTTTCTATATGAGAATCAAATTAACAGCAGCAATTTGAAAGGTCAGCTGAGAATCTTAGGGGGCATTGAGTTAATGACGGAAGAACAACTCATAGGAGAGTGACAGCTGTACAACTGCAAGAATATACTATGTGTCGCTGAACTATACAGGCAGAAATGCTTGGAATTCTGTGTACATCCTCATAAACAACGCAACAAACAAAAAAGTAGATGATCCTGCGAGGGTCTTCTGTAGCGGTAGTATTTAAAATTCATTCACCTCGCTGATGGCCATGGTGTTGGAACGGACTCATAGCTGCACCTCCAGCGGGCTTTCAGAGGCTGTACACAGCGTAGGAGGAGACTGCCCCTCTTTTTCAGGGGGAGCAGCTGGTGGATTCGAACCACCTGCCTTTGGGTTGACACCACATTCACGGTTAGTGAATTGAAAGTGAGAATGTGGGTGGGCCTTGTCCAATCAGTGGAAGGGCTTAAAAGTGAACAGCTCTCAGGATTTCCGAGGAAAATCCTGCTGCGTGTGAATGTCACACGGAGAACGGTGACACCCACTTCCCGGTTTCTGGCCTTCCCTGTGGAGTCTAGGCTTGGTGAGTCTTCCTGTGTCTCCTATGGGTTGTTTTTCTGGGGGAACGCCGAGTGGTAATGCCAGGGCCTGGGCTGTTACCTCGTGATGGAAGAAAGAGACGGTGGACCTATGGGGTGTTGATTTTGAGTTCTGGGTTCTAAGTGAGGACTGTGTGTGACAGGCAGAGCTAGGCTGTGGTCTTTGCAGGGACAATCTGTCTCTCCTAGGCAGAGCCCCTGAGTGGATTCAAACTTCCAGCCTTACAGTTAATAGCCAATCACGTTCCCACAGGGACAGAAGTATTATCTGAGATGCTCTCTAAGTTATGAAGAGAGTTTACACAAAGTGGCCAGTGTTCTTAACTGACCACGCATTAATAGGCTGAGATTGTTTGCTGTCTCTTGAACGGACTTCGATTTCCACAAGGAAATCTCCTACTCTTACTTAATTCTGGTGAGACGGTACCTCAGAGCAGGTAAACCACCTGTCGCTCCCCTTGTCCTGCTGCATTTTCTCCATCATGCTTAGGTGCTCTGGTGGCACAATGGTTAAATCATTTGGTGGATAACCATAAGGTTGGCAGTTTGAACCCACCACCCACTTCACAGAATGACAAGGCAGTCTACTTCTGTAAAGTCTTGGAAACTCTATGAAAGTGGCTCTACTCTGTCCTCCAGGGTCACTATGAATTGTAACCAAACATGATGACTGTGGAGCTGGGTCCAGCTTGTCTCCACCAAGTTATTTTCAAGTTCTCTGCGGTCTGTTTACTGTCTGTGATCCTTCTAAGACACCAAGGACTTGGCCTGTCCCGTGTACCTCTGCACATGTCCTTAATTAAGATGTGCTGATATGTGGACGTTAGATGCACATGATCCTTGGAAATACAGCCGTGATTATGGATGATAGCTTTAAGTGTGAATGTACTCTGTACACCTGAAAAAACGTCAGTGGGCAAGTGGATTATATCACGTTTCACAACAATGAAATTGTTACATGACAACAAACAAGATGGCCAACACACTCCCAAATCTCCAGTGGCTCAAAGAACTTAACAGAGACATCAGCACATGCCTTCAGGTTAATGAATACAAAAATGTGTTAAAACTCTGCAGTGCAGGTAAAGCACTGCTCAGAGGAAAATTCATAGCTGTAATTCCTATTTCAAAAGATATATTCGCTGAATGCAGGAAAGGATGCGATAAAGGAGATCAAGATTCCCTGAGGGGTAAGGAAATGTAGGAGCCAAGGGAAACTGATGTTAGGGGTGGGGTATGGAGGGAAGTCCTGAGGGGACTTCATGTTGTGAGGGGGAGCAGCGAGGGCAGGACGGGCAGATAAGGGGTCCTGCTGCATAAAGAGCAAGGAGCATTAATGGGGGAGTGGAACTGATCAAGTTCATGGTTATTTTCACTGGCCCAGAGAGCTGTTGCTGGAAGCCAGAAAGTGCTGGTGTTCTCAGAGGGAAATGTATTATGGGAAGGATTGATGCCGGGAGTGGCAGGACGGGAAGAGAGTGCACGAGGGACCACAGTAGGAACCACAAAGGCTCGCGTTTATGGTTCCAGTGGTTGGGCTGCACCACTGAACCGATGTTTATGCTCACCGTGTGAGGTTAAGTCCTGTCATTGGTCCCTTTGTATATAAAGGGAAATAGGCACTGAGAGAGACATCATCTCCCCAAGGTCACAGGGCTGGTAAGGGGGAAAGCAGGTGCTTGACTGTAGAGGTCTTTCTACTGCCAGGCCCTGGGGTAACAGAGCCACCCTGTGATGAAATCCCTGTGTTGATCACAAGAGCAGCAACAGATATGACATGAGTGAGTGCCAGGTTCAATCGTCTCACGTGTTGATGGCAAGCATCCTTCCAACAGCCCCAGAAGACAATTATGAGTGCTGGCTC